AGTTTGGGTGAATTACTAAGTGGTGATCAGTCTCACCTCCGAGAATTCGGAGGGGCTTGATACTATCATGAAAGAATTGCCTCTCCCAAAGTCCTTCAAAATGGTTGGCCTGCAGCTCTCTCCCTCGAGGAGTTGTACCGTTGGACATTCAATCAAGCATCATGGCATGCTTATCGATACACTAATGTAGAGTTACAGTGCTGCACTTAACACACTTTCAACTAGTCACTTCTCAGCTTCTCAAGCCCCAAAGTGATCAACCTACCAACTGATGGTGTATTTTAACGTGATGCAATTTTGTGATGACGAGTTAATAAAAGAAACAATATTGGAATTATTGGGATCTGAGCTACTAAACACGAGGAAATGATACTGAGAATTGTTGGGGAGTTGGGAATTAACACATTAGAAATATAGTGGTTCACCAGTTCGAGAACTCTGCTAATCCACTCTTTAACGAAGATTCTTGCTCTTTTCTTCACTATTTACTATACCAAAAAGTTTACAGAATGTAAAATGTGATACTAGGGTTCTGCCTCTCTATTGACGGCGTTACATAGTATTTATAGGGTTTTTTCTAATTCTACGAGATCCGTCCCGAGATTTTCGTCATTTATCCGAAGAATCCTCTTTGATCTTATGAAGAGATCTTTTCTGGATGAGAGTTTTATGTTTCGATTATGACTCTTTGCTGCCTCTAGGTTTTCTGTTGACAAATAACTATCTCTTTATTACTTCCGCTGCTGCTTTGATTGGGCTGAACTTTACTATGATTTTATGAGCTCTGTGCGTCTAATCTCCACTCCCGAGCTCATACTTGTGAATTGCTCTAAGTATCATCACCAACCAAAACCAATTACTTGATTTGTCCGTCTTCGCACGGGCTCTTTACTCTTGGAAGTTTTTTGGGATGTAGTGTTTTCTCTGCATCTTTGAAATTAATATGCTTGGACACTCGCTAATGTGCAAATAGAAGAGCTGCTCACAACATTCACTCACTAGTGCTACCTCAAGCTTCAGCTCTTCGTCACAGTCGGATGGCAACTCACCTAAAACTCATTTTTGCACACAAGGACAGATATTTCACTGCTTCAACAAAACCCAGAAGGGCAGTCTACCACTTAAATGCTATTTCAGCCAAGAAAATATGCTCAACGCCACTCGGAATATGCTCGGCATCATTGCAATATTGATCGGCACCGTCAAAGGATAACGAGTATATTCAAGTCGACTCATCATCATGGCATATTATCTCGATTCTCAATTCTCTGCCCAGCATTTCTATACAGTTGGGTTCTCATAATTACCCAAAGTGCTACAGCCCATCCACCGAGAGGGATTGTTCCATCAGGCACTTGATCGAACATCGGGAAGACGTTTTGTGCTAGGGCGATCTGTGTGGACCCAGGACATACTGCTCGTTACAGTCAGACGAAGTGAAGCTCCTAGCTATAGAGATGTTCGGGCGTTGTTAACCACATCGGAAAAGCACCTGCACCGAGTAAAAGAAGTGCTCAGAGACTACATGAATTTATTCGATGCCATTAACAAGTTCCACAAGTGTTGTTCGGTGCCTCCGATTATATACGGGAGGCTTCAAATTGATGGGTTTTGAATAACCCAAGAAAGCCATGGTGGTGGTCTTTCACCTCGATCAACGGAGCTCGGCCTCTTTTCTGTCATTCATCACAAACTAATGCAGCATGGGATTGCTCGGGAAAAGGCTAAGCCGAATGATTTCCTAAATTCTGCCCAGCTCCTACGGACATGGGCAATGACGCCGTGATATGATTTTATACACCAGCAAGAATTTACTTTGCTTTGAGGGATTACCCAATTTCGTACGCATTCCAACTCTAAAACTCTTCCTAGGGAAGCACAAGTCTCTATTGCCAAGCAACCGAGGACCTCTGCTGAGCGACGTCACACCATTGCTCCAACAAAGGCGTGATAGGGGGCAACAACCCAGACCGAGCAAAGATAAAAGCAAGTAACCTGAGGTATTCAACAACATCAGATCAAGTTTCTGGATTGTGGATCCTCAGGAAATAAAACCTACATGTCTAGGTGCTCAGTGGACTCTGGCTCTGGACACGGGTAAGCCTTTGCTCTGTCAAAACACCAAAAGTCTTAATGTAGGCAAAAACCTCTTAGGGACAGGTTCCAAAACTTGGCTTCGGGAGTACTCCTTATTTAGAGAGGTGACATGAGGTTCAAGATTTGACTCTGAATACGGGTAAGTCTTTGCTTGGCCAAAGCACCAAAAAATCTTAATGTAGGCAAAAACCTCTCAGGAACAAGTTCCAGAACTTGGTCTCGGGAGTATTCCTTGTTTATGGAGGTGATATGGGGTTCAAGATTTAATCTTGAACACGAATAAGTTTTTGCTTGGCCAAAGCACCAAAAGTCAATAATGTAGGCAAAAACCTTTCGGGGAAAGGTTCCAAAACTTGGGCTCAGGAGTACTCCTTATTTAGGGAGGTGACATGTGGTTCAGGATTTGACCCTGAACATGGGTAAACTTTTGTTCGGCCAAAACACCAAAAGTCCTAATGTAAGCATAAAACCTCTCGGAGACAGGTTCAAGAACCTGTACTTGAGAGTACTCCTTGCTTAGGGAGGTGACATGAGACTTTAGGTGAGACCCTAGGCATAGCGCAATACAGTTACAAGGGGGAGCTTGACCCAGCGTCAACATTCATGTTCGGAGGTTAGACATGAAGACCTTCTTAAGAAGAATCTCACTAAATGAACCTTGAATTGCCTAACTACGGGTTTGATATATTCAAGACTAAATTCAACAACGTATGCTTTTATTTATTTCAATTAAATGTTAATTGAACATGATAAGAAAAATGGCAGGATTCAACGCCCAGTTGATCATCAAACTTGAGACTGTCGAGGCCAAGAAATAGATATGTTCGGGCCTTCTTTTATAGACATTCTAAAGGAGTCAAGATTATTCAGTCCTTCTTCAAAGGACCCGGTGTATTCGGTCTTTCTTTACAATGAGAGATTTATTTTGATCTTTCTCAAGATTCAAGGTTAATCAATCCCTCTACAGAGGACTGACTACTATTGTTCTATTTAGACTCGTTCATGCTCAACGTTGGTCGCATTCGATTATAGTAACCTTTCTCAGGGTTTTTATTTTGTTATCTTCGTTGGAGTTGGATATGGAGCACCTATGGTTATTCCATTCAAGATTTAAATCTCTCTAAGCAGACATTAAATAGTTATCTTCAATGTTCCTTGAGCTGCTCAATAAAGGACTTCATTGTTACTCGACCTTAGGGGATAGATGTGTTCATGGTCTCTTTATTAAGTCCCTCATCAAGAAACTCGTGTACTGAGGCTTTCTACATAGAGACCTTCTCTCAGAGATCAAGATTGTTTGGCCATGTTGTAAGGACATAGGGTATTCAGTCATTCAAGAATCAAATTTATTCGGACCTACCTTAGACTCATTTGGTTTAACTTCGGAGGCAAAGGTTATGTGGTTTCTAATCAAAAGATTAGCAACATCTATTATTGATATCTGTTGGACATATTTGGCTTGGACGATGCCTCGTTATCGTACTCGAGATTCAGTTATACTCATCCCTCGGATTTGACTGTGGTCATCCTCTTTTAGACTTGGATATTATTGTTTCTTCAGATGAGTATGAACCAATTATGGTTGTCTCGTATAAGATTCGTCTTTCTCCAACGACATCTTATAATTATGTTTGAGATTCTATTATTCGGCCCTTTAATGAGGCATCTCATTATTGCTTGGCATAAAGGGTTTCTTGTATGACATTCAACCTGTGCATGTGTTATTATCTATGGTATTCGGCCTCTGTGCTTGCTTGATAGTATATAGTGGGTCTCGACATATCTCTCCTAAGGCGTACATTGCCAAAGAGAATGTGAATATTATCCCCAAAAACATGAATATTTCAGGTATCTTTCATCTTCTTCTAAGGGCGACAAAAGAAAATGAAAGCAAGGGGGCAATTGACGGGACATTTCTATCAAGTTGGTCCACCAGCTTCACTCCCAATGAAGGAATTGACATATATCACAAGTGGGACCCGCTACAATAGATAATGACAGGTAATGAGTGTTTTTAGTAAGCTAGCTATGCTTATCTCTCTGTATTGACGAGTGCACAGTACATGATGGTAAGTGGCTCTCTAATTTTCTCTATATATATGAGTGAAGACCCAAAAAAGAGGGGATCTCAAGTATGAACACCTCGGTTCTATACTTCACATACACACACACCTAAATTATTTTTCTAGTTTATACACTCATCTATTCAAGTATTGATCGCAATACTGACCTAGGCATCAAATGGGCCTCCCCTGGCTCAATGTCGGGGTCCCTCCAACATTTTTTTGTCTTGCAGCTCATGAATTGAGTGATACTCGAAGACTAGGGATGCATCTCAACTCAATTTAGTAATTGTGCGGATTTTTATCCGTACAAGTTGCATTATCGATAAAAAGTTTTAATAATTATTTTTTTTGTTTATGTTATATATATATCGATTTTTAATTTTTTATGTTTAAAAAGTATTAAATATAATTTTAATAAATATAAATTTATGAACTTTTACGATCTATTAAAAAAAAATTAAAACATACTAATGTGTTCATTTTAAAAAAAATTTCTGGCTCTGACCTAAAGTGAGGTAAAGGGTGGGGGAGAGAGAGGGAGAGGGAGAGGGAGAGAGAGAGAGAGAAGAATCTAGCGATATTTCAAGATTGGAGACTGGGTCCCATATTAGATTTTTTGATTATTTTTATTGAAGGGAAAAAGTATAATTTCAGCATTTGTGTTAGTTTGAACCGTTACTAATAGGGGTGGCAGTGTTATATTTAATACCTGACGGGGTTGATGTGATCTAATGATAAACCTCGAGGTGTCTTGATGTAATTTACTCAGGAAAAATTGTAATATAACGAGGAGGCGCAATACACTGCGATGGAGGTGCATAGGCCGCTGGTGCAAACGCCAATGTACTGATCACTCCAGAAACAGCTAATGGAATGTAAAACACATTTTACATTTACATTTACGCCTTTTTTAAAAATTTCTCCGTGCAACTTCACCGTCTCTGCGGAAAGTCGAAAACCCTATGCTCAATTTGATACTGATCTCGTACATTACGACCATTGTCGTTAACAAAAATCTCAGATCGTCGCAATCAGAAGTAAAGGGCCAGACTCTGCGGGTGGCGGATTAACAGATAGAAGAGAAGATCTGAAGCACGTGACGTATACGTGCAGGTGTACATAGACACATACAGGTATGAGAGTGCATATCTTGTTCGTAATGGTGATCTTAAAGATGTGATTACACCCACACTCACACTTCAAATTTTATCTTCTTTAATTTGAATTATTTTACTAATGTCCGATGGAAATTCAATTGACTATTTGCAAAAATTGGGCTAATCTGTAAAACATGGAATTAATTCTACATTCGAAAATGATCGAATCATTTGCTTGAAAAATCGATTTATGAATTATTGAAACTAGTCGGTATTATTGATGGCGTGATCTTGTGATTTGGATGGCTTGAGAACTTAATTTCTTGGTTCTGACAATTGATGGAATATTTGACGAAGTAAAGGTTTAATCGCATTATAATGATAATGATTTGTCTATAACATTGTCATTAAATAGGATCATGTCAAGATTTGGATCTTAGTAGGACGCTAGAGAATGGGAAAAAAGGAGGTTTTACCAGAGTACATTGCATCAAATGTCTCTTCGATTGTACTTTGGTTACAAATTAGGGGTGAAAAGTTTTTTGTTTCCTTCTGGAGTGGGGCTCGTGCCTCTACAGCATTTTCAAGTTGACAAATCTGAATTTAAAATGGGGTGAAATATGGCCATTAGATCTTTAAAGAGGTGTGAAATCTAACCATTGGAGATTTGAGTCTCCCTTGAGCAAAAATTTGAGTCTCCCTTTATTTATTATGTGTTTGAGTAAAAAAATGGAGTTTGTTTTTAGTCTGTTTTTACTCAAATTTCAATTTGAGAAAGGGTTGGAGATGTTTACATTGAAACTGTAAAATTTTGAGTAACTGTGTTCGTTAGTGATCTTCCATTACTGTTAAGAGATAATCTTTACTAATTAATTTGGTTCTTTAAAAGGAGTATGTATTGGACTTTTTGTTGCAAATTTGAGTATGAAAAAGAATCCTTATTTATATGAAAGAGTTTTGATGTAAATGATGGTTTCCCTATACTTCCTACTTCCATTCCTTTTGTATTTCCTCTCCGAAAAACTATTGCACGTTTATGCATGGGAAATATATTGTTGAAAAATTCTGACGCAATGATCTCTCTCTCTATATATATAAGTATGTGTGCGTGTATTTGCTTATTGACCTCTGTCTCTTTGCTTCCTTTTTGAGATATTGATGTCTCAGTGCCTAATGTATTTCAATGATCTTGTGTAGGTGAGAGCTTGTGAAGTAGAGATGGTGAAGTTAACTATGATTGCTCGTGTTACTGATGGGCTTCCTCTAGCTGAGGGCCTCGATGATGGCCGTGATATGCAAGATGCTGAATTCTACAAGCAGCAAGTAAAGGCATTGTTCAAGAATCTCTCAAGAGGCCAGAATGAGGCTTCAAGAATGTCAATAGAAACTGGCCCTTACATTTTTCAGTATCCTCTTGCACTTGATATCCAAATCCATATATTATCTCCTTTTTCCTCTTTGCATGTACTGTAGTTGACACCTGATAGATATGTTAGCCGCCATTTTTCCCAATAATGTTTGCTATTGCGGAGTAAAATACTCTTGGAATTCCTGTTAATATCACTTTTTTTTTTGTAACCGTTTGGTAGCAAGCTAATGGAAACTCTTTGGCAACAACCAACTGCATCATTAAAGCACAAGCAATGCATCATTGTTTCATAGTTCAAAATCTATCCTGTTGTTGCTCATTATTTTTTCTCTTTTTCTGGTGGACACAATAAAGGAGCTCTCATACTTGGGGGGAGTATGCATCCAATGTATAGGTTCTGTACACCATTTGAATATAATTGGGTAAAACTAACTATAAGGTTCTTTGGGTTTTTCTTGTAAGCGACAGTTTCTTTCTGCCGCATTATTTCTAATGGATATTTGTAAATCCCTTGCCCACCAAATGAACGGCTTGCATATTTAGGATTATTTATTACTTTTTTTTCCTCCCTGGTTTATGGATAAGATGGAGATTATTGTCTTTGTTATGATCCAGCTCCACTTGATAGAAAATATCTCGATGGATTGTTTGGCGGGTTTGCCCAGTTGAGAGTGCAATTAGTTTTATGTGTTTGATTGTCATTTTCACACTTCTGACTATTGGTGTGTCCATTCACTGTATTCCTAAGTGATATTTTTTGAAAGGATACATGTTTTTTTCTGTCTTATGCATACGTAGTAGCATATACTTGGGCTGCATCTCATGCCAATTTTTATCTTACCCAGTTTGGTTGGAAAGAAAAACTAGTATTTTTGGTCCTTCCAAAAGAAATAATTTTCTTCCCATGCATGATATATGGTTATGGATGGCAGCTTTAGGTTTGGAAGTCTAGTATTTATTGCTGAGACATATAAGTTGTGTACTTGGAGCAAACAGAGTATTCTCAGACTCAGGTTTGCTTTCAAAAATTATATAAGGTGGGTACAGACCAGATTGAATCCTTTTAATTAGAAGTTTTTAGCAAGCGCAGAGATGGTGATAGCATAAACAAGCATGATCCTATGAGCTCATCCATGCAAAGTGAATAAAATGCCTTCAATTTTTTAGTCTATGATCTAATTACGTACCTTGGTGCTTCTCAAAGATGTACTTTGTATTTAGTTGTTGTTCAGTATATATGTTTGCCTCCCAAAACTTTAGTGTCTTCTCTTCATTCTCTTTTTCCTTGTATTTTGAAAGTGCAGCTTCTGTGGATCTTAATGTTTTCTTAACTTAGGTTTACAGTTATATTATTGAAGGGCGTGTTTGTTATTTGACAATGTGTGATCGTGCTTATCCAAAGAAACTTGCGTTTCAATACCTGGAGGACCTTAAGAACGAATTTGAGCGTGTCAATGGGAGTCAAATCGAAACTGCAGCTAGACCTTACGCTTTTATAAAATTTGGTAGATCTTACCTTTTCTTTCTGCTCTTTAGTCTTCAAATATACTTGATTTATTTTATATATTATATTCTGGCAACATTAATTTTTTTTGTTTTCTTGTCTGTAAAAGACACGTTCATACAGAAAACTAAGAAATTGTACCAGGACACAAGAACTCAACGGAATATTTCAAAGTTGAATGATGAACTCTATGAGGTTCACCAGATAATGACTCGCAATGTGCAGGAAGTTCTTGGTGTTGGTGAAAAGTTGGATCGTAAGTTATTGCACTCTAAAAATTTTCCTGAATTCATTTCTTATAGTTTTTTTCCGTTGTCTTACTCCTCTCTCTAGAAAAGCACCATATCCTAAAAGTTCCTTCTGATGATCACAATATGGTTGTTAAGGACTAGGCCAATTCTTGGGGATGTCTGTGGGGTTGGTTTGAAAAGATGAGTGGGAATTGTTAAGGGAAAAGACAATATCAAGTGATCTAAACCCTGCAGGACATTCTAATAATCCCAGGATGCTTGTTAAGTTCAATCTAGATGTCAATTCACGCATGGGATTGGTTTCTAAAGAGATAAAACACTAAGCTTGAACTAGGTAGAATCCGAAAAATGTCAGTAACGGTTAGATATGCATAAAACAATGCTTAGGATCCCATTTGGAAAATGCCATCCTGAGAAACTTTGCCATATTGTAATTGAAGTGGCAAATAATGGGGTTTTGAATATAAGCATGCCATCATTGGAGAAATATCAAAAATTGTAAAGGTCGGTATGATGAACTTCTCGGAGGTCAGTGCAGAGCAAATAGGTTGTTTGTTGTTCCTTCTGAGTTTGGAGCAAACTCTTATTTTTTCGTGGTTCTCCTTCTTTTGCTTTTGTTTGGGGAGGAAAAGACCCCGCCACCCTCTGGCGGGGTTGAGAGCTGTTTATGCATTAGCTTCTAAATATTCTGGTACCAGCATACATTCGTGATTCAATAATTTCACATATCAACTTTTGCAGAGGTCAGTCAAATGTCTAGCCGCTTGACATCAGAGTCTCGCATATATGCTGATAAAGCAAGAGATTTAAATCGACAGGTTAGTTTAATTGGATTAGCAATGATACACATGCATCTTGGTAACAGAAAAGTCGGATTTGTTTGTCTGAACCACTTTGGTAAGCTTTGGTTTTAGTAGCAGTTTTGCTTAGGTTATTTATGTTATAATGGCTCTGCTGTCAAATTTAACAAGCATTGTTGAAGCCATATATTTGTTGGGCAGATACATACCCTCTATTGCTATATTTGTTGCACATATTTTGGATCCAATTGAAATGAATCATATTTTAGCATTATCATTGATACTCAAAATGCTGAAAAATTATAGAAGACTGTTGTTGCTAGTTAAATTTACCCTTCCTTCTTTTTGTTTTTATGATTTCTTATTGTTATACATTGAATAAGTGCCTGTCAGTCAGCTCAAGAAAGTGGAGTTATACAGAGTGCACAGCTCATAAGTGGTGCTGTGTTTTTATTTGCACTTGTGCTGAGGAATTCTTATTTGCATTCAGAGTAATTTTTGAGATTGTATGTTACATGGTTTCAATTCTTTAGTGTGCTTTTTGTCTTCATTCTGTTGTAGAGCGTAGATGTGAGTCAATAGTTATTAGACTAATATAAGCTTTTGTTTGGTATATTGTTCTCAATTGGGTAAATACTAATGCAACAGGTGAGATGACCTTATAAAGTTTTGAGTCTTGATGTTTGTTTAAATTGTATGTGATAGAGTTCTTAATTTCTATATTAGACATAAGTTAATTAGTCTAGGATAATATTGTAATTACTTCAACATTGTTCAGTTATAATATAGAGAATGTAGGGCAACCTAGTCACTACAACTCATTATTCTTTCTCTCTCTGCCTCTCATTATTTCTCTTATCTTATTCTCTCTTAACCCTAACCCTAATATCACTTTTAGAGACTTTGTGTGATGTTTACAAATGCTGGAACAGTCGCTGAGAAGGGGCAGAGGTGCAAACAAGAGATAGAGAGGGACACGAGTTTTGCTTTTAGGGGTGGACTTCTAGTAAAACGATGCCATTTTACTAGAAATAGGATTTTTAAAAAAAAACGAATCATACAATTTTTTGCGATTCATGTGCGATTCCCAACTGAAAATAATTCTGTAGTGAGATACGAATCGAATGAGAATTAAATCAAATCGTACGAATCGAGTCTCGAATCGTACGATTTTGATAACAATGTGTACACTCCTTTATAAATATATTTTGTGCTGATCATGATACCATTTATCAGACTACATGTACACATACATCCTAGCAAAATGGTGTTGCAGAACGCAAACATCATCATTTATTGAATATTGTTCGTACCCTCATGTTTAACACAATGTTACCTGGATCGTAGGTCACTTTGGTACGTGGTACGAGTACGGGTATATGGTATGACACTTTTTTAGGTACGCAGTACGATGGGGGTAGGGTTAACTGGTATGGTATTTTGGGTCATAATTTGTTTTATAACTCTTCTGTAAATTGTTTTCACTACTATACAATATTATATATTACAGAACATCTATAAACACTAAGTTAGTTACCATTTATCTTATAGTTGTACTTGTTTTTCTATTATATAAAATAATATATAATTATAAATCTATATACATATAGTCAATTAATATATATTTTATATTTGTGTTATATATTCTAAAACGAATTGATTTAAAGTTAGTATTACAATTTGGGGTCATCCATTTTGATGATCTGGATCACAAACCCATCCTGTTTGGGACCGATGGACCCAAATCGTGGGACGTCAAGGGTTGAGTGAATTGTGATAACCATGGTTTGACATGCATATTTCCACGTTGTTATCACTTAAATTAATCTTATTAATTGGATGTCTTTCTCATCTTAGGTAACAAATATCCGTTCTCCTTGCTCTGTCTTGACATTGCCCTTTGGTCTCACTTCTCTTGTCCTTGATTGTGTTGGATTTGTTCAACTTTTTGGTCCAGGTCGGGATAAACTCTCCCATCACTTGATTAAATGTGTCTTTCTAGGATACCTTTGTACTTAAAAAGGTTATTGTTGTTATGATCGTACCTATTGTCGATATTATGTCAATGTCGATGTCATCTTCTTTGAGTCATCTTTTTTTCTCCTTTAGGAATTACTCTTTCTCCAAATTTGATCTCTACTAGTTAGGGGCAACTTTTGTTTTCTTGTGTCTCTTCTCCAACTTCGTATTCGAACCTTCTATTGTTGGTTTATCGTCATTTCATGGACAGACTGGTTGTTTCATATGCTCCAGCGACCCGGCCACCACCAGATTCTACCGAGGTCCTGTCTCCTAAGAGGCCTACATCCTTTTCTAATTTGTCTATTGCATTGCGAAAAAGTACTCGTACTTGTACTCAACATCTTGTCTCTAATTTTTTCTCTTTGTATTAGCTCTCCTCACGCTTTAATTTTATGCAGCAAACTTGTTTTCTGTATCTGTTTCTAGCTTTTTGAAACATACATTAACATCTCCTGAAAGAAAACTGACTATTGATGAGGAAATGAAGGCCCTTCAATCATATTTGGGATCAGGGTTTTGAAAATCGGATATTACAACGCATAATGGTTGTTACGACGCATAGGTCGTTACGTAACGGTATCGGTGGCTGTCAATACCATCACACCTCGTTATAGTGGTCGAAATGTTTTTCATATCTGTAACGGTGTGTAATGGTCGTTATAGGATGTTATGAGACCTTTTTTAGATCGTAACAACAAATTCTATTATAAGTCCCTACACTATGCCTCCTCCCTATGATCCTCATGCTCTTGGAGCCTTTCTTAGGAGGAAATTCAACTTAATAAAGCAAGTAGAGGCATGAGAGAGAAGGTACTGTAGAAGTGGTGAAGTTTTTACAGACCTCCCATGGAGGTGGGCTTGTTGGTGAAGACGAAGAATAAGCACATGAGGAGAGAGTGAGATTTTGGCATTTGTGATGAGTTGACAGCAGCCAATGGGACAAATGATCTGGTACAATAAAGTACAAGTTAAATTTTTTTTTGACCATATTTTTGGAAGATGTCAAAGTTGAGAACCCATTATTTTTTGACAAGCGTCATTTTTAAATCCTCGAAGTAGAGGATTGAACCCAACTTACAACATGATGAAGTAGGCCCACTTTAGTGCCTTGACATCTTACTGAAGGATAGCTTGTGTTATACACACTGTCCAATTTTTTGAATCCAACGGCTGGGGGGCTTATCTTACTTTCTAATTTTAAATCTTGATTAATTTAAATCTAATTGGTTAAAGGTTGTATTCCAAGAAAGTCTGGTTGCAATTTGGATGAGTGACTAAAATCAAAGCATCGAAATTCCCCTTGCTAATTTAATTAAACAAAGAATTAAATTCTATTTTGAAATTTGTTAATGTGTTCCAAGATTTGCATAATTTTAGCCCAAAATAATAAATAATTGTCAACACCAAATAGAAGATGATACTCTTGCATGTTGTGTATTGATTTTTCATATTATGAACCAATAATATAAATGTAATAAGTTGTAAATCCTAATAAAGATTTTTAAAAAATATTAAAAGACTCAACCGTATTTTAAAGTTAAAACATTAATATTGTTACAAATTGGGTTAAGTGAGAATGAAAAAAAAAAAATCACACATATGGTTTTCATTCTTGCTACGTAACGCTCGTTATACCCCGCGTCCATTACACCCATGGTTTAGAATATTGGCCGATATCGATACGAATTAGTTGAGTCATATCCGACTTAGTACCTTTCAAGATGATACCATTACACGATAAAGTTGTATCCGAATTAATCTTGAGTTGTCAAGTTATTGTTACTATATCGGTTAATACGTTTCCTTGACATTGCGAGATGATCTAAATCTAACGTCATATTCAACATTTTTTTTAGGTCGTATTGCTCATTATTGCATCTCGACCGATGCGTCTTAAAGTTGTCCAAGTCGATGGTCGATATCGCGACCTTGAGCCATGATTACAATGTTACCATATCTGTTACTGTTACTGTTACTGTGTCTGTTACCATTATTCAAAACTATGCTTGGATCTTACTTCTCTTTCGTTTGGAAAGCAGCCTGTTAGTTGTCGCTGGATTTACACTGTGAAAAATCATCCTGATGGCTCTGTTGAGCGTTTAAAGGCATGATTGATTACTAAGGACTACACCTAGAATTATGGTGTGCATTACTGTAAGACTTTCTTTCCTGTTGTTGATCTCAACTCTATTAGAGTTTTTATTTTTGTTGTAATCAATTCTGATTGGTCCTTGTATATAAACTAGACATAAAGAATGCATTCTTACACGGAGATTTGCTGGAGGAGGTCTATATGATTCAACCTCCAAGTTATGTTGTTTTAGGCCAATAGCAATTAATGAGTCGTTTGAAGAAAACATTGTATGGCTTAAAACAATAACCACGTGCTTGATTTGATAAGTTTAGTACTGTAGTACTTCAGTTTTGGTTTCAGCCATAGTTATGAATAATAGTAATAAAAATGAGAACGGTGTAACGAACGCGGGATGTAACGAGCGTTACATAACAAGAACAGAAATCAGAGTTGTGAATTTTTTTTTCATTCTCACCTCACCCAATTTATAACAATATTAATGTTTTAACTTTAAATTCATACAGTTATGAGTCTTTTAATACTTTTTAATAATTTCTATTGGGATTTACACCCCATTACGTTTACGTTATTGGTTCAAGGAAGTCAAGCCCCTCAATCGTTGGATTCAAAAAGTTGGCCAGTGTGTATAACATAAGTTATACATCTATCAAGGAACTAACGTGAGCCTATTTGATGAATTTCTGGTTTGGTTCAATCCTCTACTTTGAGGATTTAAAAATTATGACATTTGTCGAAAAATAATAGGTTCTTAACTTTGACATCTTCCAAAAATGTGGTAAAAATAATGTTTAACTTAATACCCTATTGTACCAAATCATTTGTCTCACCAGTTGTTGTCCATTCATCAGATGCCAAAATCTTGTTCCCTTGTCACGTGTGTGTTGTTCTTCGTCTTCTCCAATGAGCCCACCTTCATGGGAGTTTTGCAAAAACTTCACCAGGCCACTTTGAACTGTATAACGGCTGTTACGGTCTAAAAATGGTCCCATAATGGCCATTATACACCATAACGGGCGTTACGGGTGTGAAAAACATTCTGACCGCTATCATAGGGTGTAACGGTATGGACAACCACCAATACCGTTACGTAACGGCTGAGTTTCAAAACCTTGGTTTTAGCGCTTTACCTCAAATCATTCAGGTTATATGCGTTGGGCTTTCCGCATGCATTATTGTTGTTATTGTGTATGTGGATGAAATTATTATCAATGGTAGTGACTCATATGGTATTGCCCAATTCAAGGCCTATTTGGGGAAGCAATTTCATATTAAAGACTTAAGTCTTCTTCGGTACTTCCTAGAGATTAAGGTTGCTCGATTAAAGGAGTGTATCAATTTGTACCAACGGAAGTATGTACTAGACATACTATCTAAAATTAGTACTCTTGGTTCTCATCCGATAGATATGCCTATAGGCTCTGCAGTTTAAGTCAAATCCTGAAAGTGGTGAAGTATTTGATGATATAGGGCATTATCGGAGGTTGGTTGATAATCTGATTTACCTTATAGTTACAAGTCCTAATATTATATATGTTGTTGGTGTGGTTAGTCAGTTTATACATGTTCCTCATAAGCCTTATTGGGAGGCTATCTGTTGTATACTTCAATATCTGAAAGGAGCTCCAGGAGAAGGATTTTGCTATACCGCCCATCATCATCCATAACTGTTGGTTTTTCAGGTGTTGACTCGGCAAGTAGTCATGGTGATAGACGATTTACTTTTGATTATTTTACATTTATTGGTGGCAATCTTGTTAATTGGCACAGCAAGAAGGGGAACATAGTTGCATGTTCTAGTGCAGAGACTGAGATTAAGCATTGCATGTGAGATGTTATAGGTCCATTCTTTACTTCATAATATGGGACTTGATGTGTCTTCCCCTGTGCAGATGCATTGTGACAACCAAGCAGCTATGTAGCAAGTAATTTGATATTTCATTAACATACCAAACACATTGAGATGGATTGTCATTTCATTAGAGATCTCTTAATGTGAAAGGAGTATCACTCCATATATCAAGTCTGGTAATCAACTAGGTTATATTTTTATCAAACCATTGGCTCGGTTAGCCTTCAGTAGTTTGTGTTCCAAAGTTGGACATTTTTTATAATTATGCTCCAACTTGAGAGGGATGTTAGAGTTCTTAATTTCTATATTAGACATAAGATAATTAGTCTAAGGTAATATGGTAATTACCTTATATTGTTCAGTTATAAATAGAGTTTAGGGCAACCTAGCCATTACAATTGATTATTCTCTCTCTCTATCTCTCATTATTTCTCCTTTTATTCGCTCCTAACCTGAACCCTAATATCACTTTTAATATTTTAACTGTATGAGTAGTGGAGATTAGAGAGTCACATGCCCATCTATTTATTCATTGTTCTTTTGCTTGGGGGTTGTGGAATAAATTGTTTAATGTGATTGGAGTTGCTTTGGTGTGCTCAACAACAGTGTAGGAGTTTTTGTAGATTAAAGTTTGCAGTTTTGGAAAAATTTAAGAAGCTAAGATTTTGTGGAGTTGAGCATAAATGGTGATTTTTTGGAATAATTGGTTCGAAAAGAATTCAAGAATTTTCAAAGATCGGTCTATTACTTTATTGTTAGTTTGGCATAGAATTGTGTTTCTCGTTTCTCTATGGACCAAATCCACGGGAAATCTTAGAGTTGGAGTTAAGAGGAGTATCTTTGTAGCCTCTTTATTCCCAAGGCAGCTCTATTTTTTAGTCTTTTCGATTTTCCCATTTTCGTTATTTCTTTTCTTTCCTTTTTATATCTTGTATTGCATATTGTGATTTGTTTATCTCATCTCCATCTTAATAATATGTTTCTTCTTTTATCAAAAAAAATTGACAATTGAAGGAACCAATTTTTGGCTTTAATTTCTTAGATTTGTGAGTAATGGTGATTCCATTTCATCTTTCATCTATTCAAAGGTTCTCACACGTGTGTATGTTCACTCAATATGTTGTCCTAGAGTTTAGCACCATGTTTTTGGGAGCTTGGTGTTTTTGCTCCTTGCACTTATCAACTTTGAAACTTGCTGTATAGCTTCTAAAGAACTGAGTGATTCTGAAAGTTATGCAATATGTATGCATCACCCTAATTATTGGTTCTTTAATCTTTTGACTGTAGGCTTTGATTCGGAAGTGGGCCCCCGTCGCCATTGTCATTGGAGTCGTCAGTCTTCTCTTCTGGGTCAAAAACAAGATTTGGTGATCCGGCCATTGGTTTGCAGTTTACAGACATCGCCTCAGTTTCTGTTTCTGCAGATTTATGAGGGGTGCTCGTTGTGGTTGCCAGACCAACCACCAGAGATTTCATATGTGCTCCTAATTTTACGTGATAACGTAAATCATCTTTCGAGGTGACTAGGAAGGTTTGTTTGTGGTACAGTTCTTTACAAAGGACTGCCTTTGTGGTGGGACAAATCAAGCCATGTGGTAGAAAGACACGAGATTTAGGAGCCAAACCATGTTCAATTCTGGAAAGCTCAGTATCCAGTGGGGCTTATACATGATTTCAATATCCTATATACTTTCACTATGTTATTGTATGTTGTCTTGACTATTTTATGGAGTTTAGTACAAGAATAAAGAAATGAATGAATTCCCTCATGAATTTACATCATGTTTTAACCCTTATGAATGGGCAAGTAATATATAAGCATGACTTTGGGGGTTTCTTGGAGGTCAAAACGTGGCAACAAGTACTGTGTAGTTGGTGTGGCTCGAAATCATGAGTACCTTGATTGTGTCTGGATTTACCTAGGTTCAACAAGCAGCAACTATTACTCCAAGAGGTAGTTTAAGAGGTAGTTTAAGTGGTAATAAAGACAAATTATAAATTTAGACATCATGAATTTGAATTTTAATAATTTTTTAGATCACATTATGGGGAATTTATTTTTCATAAATATCCTAATTTTGGTCTGAATAGCTTGTTTTTGACTGACCGAAAAGAAGATTAATCGAAGTTGATCCAGACATTCATAACTATCACTACTTTTCTTTCTTGTTAGGCCTTTATTAGGCTCCCAGATCCTGCTGGGTCTGGTTTAATGTAAACATTAAACTCCAATGTGTAATGTTTAATTCTGATCGAGATCAACACCAATGTGCAGGTCAAATACCCATTCAGATGCACTTGCATGTTGAATTAATCATTCTTACATTTGAAGACAGAGCAATAAAAAATTGTACAGTGGATGGTAATCCACCAATCTGATCATCCAAGTGAATGTGAGAACTCATAAATTAAACATAAAGCATTGGTATCGGTCCCATTGTATAAGAAAAGTTTCCCCTAGGACGCTTGGAATTTCTGTACGAGTTTCTCTGCTGTACCTTCTTCCCTCTACGAACTTGAAAGAAAAATTACCGACTTTTGTTCACTCATCCTTGAAAGGGGCAAATAAAATGGATGAGTTGTGTCCTCCAAATCCAAACGAGTTTGACATTGCGACCTTTATGTCCAAAAGTTCCTTCGTGGGGCCAACAAGCACATTCATATCCTGATTTGATATATGTTTCCAGCGTTATTATCCTCCATGAAATGAAACTTCACTGAAACTTTGGTAATTTAAAGATCCTTTGAACTAGTTCAAATGCATATTTGTATAGCAGGTAAATTAACCTATAGTCATGGCTGGATCAAAGCATCAAATAGCAATAAACATGAATTACATCCTGCAACTAAAGACAGGTGATTAGCGGAATTGGTTAAAAGCATACCACGCCTTCCTCTGGATTTTCGAGATTGATGTTAGGATGGACCCATCCCGTCTTTATGGCCTATATTCAAAAACCAGTTCATGAAATGTTAAAAAGGCTCAACTGCATAAACACCATCATATACTGCATAATGCAGAAAAGATGGAAACAACGAAAAGAAAAATGGTTTGCCTCATTCAGGCCTCCAATTAACAATCATTTCAAAAGAGCATGTAATTAAAGTATTAGTCTAAACACAAATCCTAACCAATTCAACTCTATTCCCTTTGTGAGTATATTCTTGTGGATAGTGGTTTGTCTGCACTACCCAAAAATATGCAAGAAGGCACCAGATGCATGCTTGTCTGAAACAATCTCCACCAGCAAGCCAGAGTAGTTTGTAAAGCAAATAGAGAAATGCCTGAAAAACCCTTCGCCCAAGACAAATTCTTCGCAAATCCCCTCTAAAATTTGGTACCTTCGTTTGTCCATCAATATGATGTGGATGAAATAAAAATCATACCCTTTTTTTTTGGAAACAAAAGAGCAGCGTCTCCCATAATTTCAAACTACTACTTTCTCAACTCAAGCAAGAAACTGTTCACGTAAAAGAGCATGAAGTCCACAGCAGCCAATGGCAGACAAGATTCTTTCCATGTAGCACCTTTATAATTTCTAGAACCTGAGATCATGTTCGGCAGCGGCCAACACTGGAAGACCACATTTTTATAATTACATTGCACATCAGCTGCAACTTGTATGATTGGAACTCAAAGGTATCCCGAGACTTGGGGCAAATAAAAATTCAGAGTTAGACTAGGGGCACATGGGGATTTAGTTTTGTTTTAGTTATCCTGATTTTAAGAACCATAATCACAACCAGGAAGGAAAATCCTAGGCGTGCCGGCAAAGTGTCCGAAGCATGGATACTCGCCGGGGGGTCGACGTGGTGGTGTTAGACACGTATCCGACACAAATACGCATGGGACACGTGTCCAACACTTCTAAAAGTCTCTTGAACAGAAAAAAGTAGATTTTTTGAGTCGGATACGACAGGGACATGAGAAGGATACTTGAGAGATACGACGATAACTCGGTACGAATAGGTAGACTCAGTGGACTTGGACAGATCAGTCAAAAACAACAAAGAAGAAGAAGTAATTTAAGATGGAAAAGAAGAAATTGAAATCGAACCTACAAAATCCAGCTGATCAAGTTTCCTTCACCCTCTTCTTCACCATATGGTAGTGACTCCTCGACTGCTCAACTACCTTCAATCACGATACACTGGTGATCTCTCTCTCTGAGCCGAAGCGTGCGTAGTTTTTTTAAGGATTTTTTGGGGTCAGAGACAGATGGGTTAAAAGACGGTTTTTAGTTTTGGATCTGAGTTAAGAAGGTTTACTATTGTTAGTATACTACTTTATTTTATTATTGTCATATTGGTAAGTTGTGAATAATGATTTGCATTTTTTTTTTGTATTTTTTATTTTAAATAGACTATATTTTTTTAGTTATTATTAATGTTGTTATTATATATATAAAGATATATAACATTATTTTAATTAGTTGTATCCTCGCCATACCTGTGTTATATATTTTGAAACTTTATCGTATTCCCTATCATATCAAATAGGACACCCATGTCAGTATTCGTGCTTTATAGGTGTCCACCTAGTTTCGAACCACTACATTTGGCTTATGAACTGACATAAAATGTTTTCATGTGGTGGATCTCTCTCTTTCTCTCTTCCCCTGTGCTTGGGAGAAAACTTAAATCCATCCAAAATAATCTCTTTCTAACACAAACACATATTTACATGCACAATCACATTTGAGTACGAAGTTAATATGAGTTAAAGTTGGAAAACTTTATTTGGTTAAACTAATGGCCGAAACCTAATAGAAATGACAAATACTAAAGATCATTGTCTCGCAGAGGATGGAACACCACACACACACACACACACACACAGGGACTACTCAAGGCATACAAACTAATGAATTGTCTCTTTGTGAGTCTCTCCAACAATTACGCTCCCCTTCTGAAGGTGAGCCTTGACTTTCGACACCTGTTGAAGAATCAGACTTTAACCTTGGAAAAATTAACATTTAAGAACATGAACTATCTTTTTTTTTTTTTTTTTTTTTGGTACTTCTAAGCTCTCTCTCACTCTCCTCTTATTTTACTTGTTTCTGATTAATTCTAAACTTTAGTTTCTTAGAAAGTAAAGTTAAGAAGGTCATAGATGTTTTATGTTTTTCGTTAACCACTAATCCCAATCAATCTGGGGTTTCAGCCAATTACTTGAGTTGTAATTTCACTTTGAAAATTGGAGGCTGAAGATGGAGATATGAATCTTGGAAGGTTTTACAGTGGTTTTTATTGCCACCAAAGACAGCGATATGAACAAGTTGACGGGAGAATCCACATCGTGGAAAAGTTAGAATATACTTCTTATCTTGGATAAACAATGGATCTCCCAAAGAATGTACAAATCGAGATTCTGTAAGTGATTATTAACTTCTTGTATGCAAGAAGAACCCAGCAACTAATTACCTTAATGGTTGCAACAGCCTCCACAGCACCAGCAGCCCCCAGCAAGTGACCAAGCATTGATTTTGTAGAGTTTATCCTAAGCTGCGAGAATCAATATCAAATTAAACATTTTAAAAATTGTGTGTTAAAATCAGGGGGTCGAGAAGAAAATTCATAGGCATTCAATTAACCTGAGGATTCTGTCCAAAACACTGAATGATAGCTTGGTATTCTTTCAGATCACTGACTGGTGTTGATGCAGCATGTGCATTTACATAATTGACATCTTCTCTGGAAACCCCAGATTGCGCCAAAGCCTTCTCTATGCAAAGAACAATCCCTGTACCTAATTTAAAATGGAAAATAATGGCCATTAGATCTAGCATTCTTGTTCGGATTGATTCTTTGCCAACCAAAAGGGCAGTGACGGCAGTTCAAGCATTTATTTGTTAACCAGTGGTTCTAGTAACCTTAAACTGCATGAATTATTGGCAAAGCACGTGAACTGGTATGCCCATCTGACTGACTTCATACCCTATTTCTACAGTTAAAGTTTAGAAGTAATGTTCAGACAATGGAAGCTCTCACAAAGAAGAAGAGAACAGCAACCAAAAAGGGAAAAAATGTGAAAACTGAAAAGTTAAGACATACTAGAAAGCTTTCAGAAACTTGAGGAAAAAAATAATAAGACAGAAAACTCACCATCTGGACGAGGGTCAGTCAAGTGATAAGCATCACAAGTGAAGCTTCCACCCAAAAACTCCGCATAAATATTTGCGCCTCTTTTCTGTCGCATTATTACAATAGGAATAAAGGCTGAAGGGTTAAGCCATGTAAAGCACCTTTTTAAAAGAATTTCGGATGTTGGCATACACACATTGGACTCACTACTATACCTTGGCATGCTGTAGTTCTTCTAAAAGTAGAACACCAGCGCCCTCTCCCATAACAAATCCATCACGATTCTGCTCAAGTGTAAAATCAGAATAAATTTTGAGAATTACATCAAGAACAAACCAAGTTGACGAAGTTAAAATCTGGAAGGCTGTAAGGTAAGTTGGGTGCCAGTGTAGCTATTATCCATCAAAACAATCACTGCCACGGGGGACACATGTGCCTATTTTGAAATTTTCAACCCGTCCAGATGTTAGGCTCAGAATATTAGCAGATAAGGCTTTAATCCAGTTTCCTGAATTTTGAGAAGCACATGTTGCATCAAGCAACATACATTGAATATCACCTGGGTACATACAGCTTTTAAACAAATTTAACTATATTATGTTTACAAAAATGGCAAACGCATACTGCAATTGTCATACTTATGCTTCGCTGATTTGACACATGGCATACTGCTGATAAAGCACAAGGTATATCAGAGTAAATGTTCTATTTTAAATTATATAGAAGTTTCACAGATTCATGTGATTACATTTAAACCTGAGCCAGGACGAGCAAGAAGAAGACAGAGGAGAAAATAGTTTGATGCAATACCATATCCCAAGGGCGTGAAGCTCCAGTTGGATCACTATTTCTCTGTGAAAGAGCTCCGCATGCAACAAAGCCTCCCAGTCCTGCAATTTCACTCCTGACTTAGGAATTACAAACTTATGAACCATGGTAATAGGTAACTTAAGCCACATCCATATTCAGACAATAACTAAAACCTATGGGAATAATTGCAGAATCGGAACCACCACAAAGCATCATATCCTGCAAGTTTATGTTCATAGAAAGAATGTTTAGTAGTAGAAGGTTTTCTGTAATGAACAACACAAACATGTTCAAACAAGACCTTAAACAATTTGTTAAATTAATTGTGAACCCAAGACAATATAACAAGAGCAACCTTAGCCACTCACAGTTTCACCTCTGATAATATGATTTGCTGCATTTAGGATACAGAAGTTGCTTGTTGCAGAAGCTGTAGAAATAGAGTAGTTTGGGCCCATCCATCCCTGCAGTTTAGCAATTAGGAAACAGCTGTAAGGTTCCTTCAAAAGTGATGCAATACATCATGATTTGTCACAATTTGCTGACAGCAATTAACAAAACTCACCAAATCCATTGCAAGAATAGCAGAACCCATATTAGTTGTAGCAAAAGGTATACAAAAGGGATTCATCTTCTTGTATGAAACCCGCAGAGCTTCTATTGCATCATTAAAAACCTGTCAAAAGTGTAATATCTCATAGCACAAACAGTAAAAGCATTTAATGACAAAAATGAAAACTAACTCCTGGAGAGGTTTTGATAATTGATACTGCAGTGAGGGATGAATTTCAAAATGCATCCCAAACTTTGATTCACCAGGCATTCATTTAGAGGTTTTTGTCCTTTACATTCTTACAAGATCTCCTGAGTGACGTAGATGAAAAGAGATTTTTCTTTTAAGGTTTTACAGTCATTTTGTTGCCAAGAATATCCATTATCATACAAGTTAAGCTTAAACTTACCTTCATGCCCCCCAGTGCAGAGCCAATCAAAACTCCACATCTAGTTTTGTTTAACTCGCCTATGACATCATCTGTGATACCAGCATCTGCCAATGCTTTCTTCCCAGCAGTTAGCAAGTAAATCATGAACTTGTCTGCCCTCTTAGAGATTTTTGGTGCAACCCAACCATCAGCTGAGAAAGACTTAATTTCCCCTGCTATTCTCTGTTAGAAAAAAGATTCGAATCATCATCTACAGCACTTCGCTTTTCCATTAAAGAAAAAGAAATAAATAAATACCAGTTGTTATAATTTAAAATAAGTCAAGAAAGATTTACCGTAGGAAACTGAGCACAATCGAAAGCCTCAATCTCACTAATGCCGCTAACACCTTCAAGAAGATTGTTGTAGATTGCATCCGCATCATGACCAATTGGGGTTACGACGCCCAGTCCTGTCACAACAACCCGCCTTTTCTTTGCAAGTGGTTTTTTCCTTGTAGTGGTTTCCTTTACCGGTTGTACAGGCAGAGTCAGGGTTTGGCCTAGAATTAGATCATCATTAAGTTAGCCTCCACATGACCAAAAATAAAAATAAAAATAAGTTGGCCTCTATGCTCACCATAAGGTAGATATGCAATGTATCAAGCATTTATCAAGAACTACCATCAGCAACATGTGGTACACATATTTAATGGAGGAAAACTATATGCACAAATTATACTAATGGGCAAAAGTTTGTGTTGAGACCACATAATAATGTGGCAGCAATATCAAACTTGCTGATTAAAGCTTTACCATCAAAACTTGCATTTATTTCCCAAGAAATCCAGTAGCTGCATTGTTGCAGTATGTTCTATTCTTATCAGCAACTGCATTGCTGAAGCATTATTATTGATCCACATTGTTCATTATTTGCTCTTCAAGCACATATGGCCACGTACACCACCTAATGATTGTAATCCTTCCAAATACTACTCCTAGTCAATAACTCTCATAGGATTAGTTCACAATCTACATAAACCTTGTGAAGCACTTCAACCTTGCATCTATTACAGCTCAGACATCAAATAAATCTATCTGAGAAACAGAAATAAAATTTCTAAATTGCTGTTTACACCCAAAAATTATACAAAAGCAAGATAACGACAAGTGAACCCCGAATCAGCCTACGTGCCCCACCCTAAACTGGTTGTCTTCTCCTGAGGACGTTGTTGGAACCAGCAATTCATACCCTCTTGGAAATTTGCGTTTTTGGTCTAGCCAATCGAGGAAGGATTTCTGTAAGTAGGCCTAGTGACTCTTGATATGGACAGATCCCCTTGTTCCTAGATAATTTTTGTCTAACTGGCCTCATTTCGTGACCAGGTGGTTCGCGGCGGTGGTTGTCGGCTGTTAAAACCTTGGTTGCTCCATTGTCATTACCCCTGTGATCAACAAAGGGCCAGCGGCGACTCCTCGTGGAAAATAGGATGCATGAGTAGTTTTAGCTCCCGTCAACACCACCACAGTAAATCAAAATAAATGACATGAATTATCCGAACCCTATGTTCCAAACTAACAACACACACAAAATGAAATCAAATCAAGGATCAAATAACATGAAGCAACGTAAAACTCCCAGAAATATTAAACAACATATACCAATCATTTATAACATAAAATTCTTAAGTCCTTACTTGAGTGGGCAACGCGATTCATTCGTTTCTGCCTACGACTCAATGGTACCGTCTTCGACCCGAAAAGCGAGAACCCATTGTCACCAAAAAAGGCCAAAGAAGAAGACAACCCCTCTGAACTATAATACTCTTCGCAAGGCTCGAATGCAAGATATGAACTCATAACATTCTGAATACCCAATCCACAAAACGATGGTAACAAACATCCTGAGAGATTGTTTACAGCACCAGTATTCCCACTTTGAGTTACTAGTTTCTTTCGTCTCGGACACCGACTCGGCCTCTTTGAAAACTGGGACAACGATGCTGACTTGGAAAAGTGGTCTTTTTCGCATGCCACAGACATGCAAGCTGCGACTAGCCATGTACAGAGTGGAGAGGCAACAGAGGAAGTCACCATCGGTGAAACCCAGAATTCAGAGGAAAATGACACCCAAATTGGAACTCAAAAAATGGTAACCCAGATGGAGAATCTGATCACCCAGATAGATTTAACACGAAATTTTATCAACAGATTGAAAATTTAGGCACTTGCTGTGATTCGGAGTGTTGGGTAATTGTGGGTTTTAAGAGAAGAATACAACGGTGATCAGGGATGGTTGAAACAGAAAGCGAAGCTGTCATCAATGTGGAGCAGTTGGAGACGACTGGTGTACGCGAATCCGAGACGGTTCTAAACGCTATGTGAAACAAAAAAAATTGGCGAGATGGATATAAAATAGTAGAGTACAAAGTACAAACTGATCTGCTACACCAAAATACGTTTACCATCAGATATGGAATTTTATGGGTAAGGTGGTGGGGATGGGATCATTTGGAAATTGGAACCTGGCTTGGCCTGTACCCCATTACCAAGTCCCATAGCATTGCAGAAATTGTTTTGTTAAACAAAATTTACAGAGAGAGAGAGAGAGAGAGAGAGTCACTTCAGCCTTTGAAGCAAGATTACATCTCCAGAAAGATAAATGTTTTGTTGAACCTTAGCTGGTGAGATATACTTTTATAAGAAAGCCTACAAAACGGTTACCATTGAATTTCTGAGTCGGTTTTTCTCAGAATTTGAAAAGGACGTTTATGAGATATACTTTTATCTCACCGCATCTGATTCCTTAAAACTTGGTTTCTCAGCTTCAAAAATCATCAGTTAATGTCTTGCCTGTTGCCGCCGTAAATTAACAAGTACCTTACGTTTTTAAAGAGTCCAAATTTTATTTCGTAAAGAATAATTTTATGCGTGCCAAAATTTATATTAAATTAATTATAATTGTTGAATCAGTGGGTGGAATTTAATAATTCAAAGGCTGTAAGTAATTTATGCTTTGTTTGGTATCATGAAAAAGTAGGAGGATAGAAACTTGAAAGGATGAAAAATTGGAAGGATAAATAAAACACCATGTTTGGTAAGAAAGAAAAGTAGAAAGGATGGAAAAGTGGATTGACTAATTTTCCTTTCAACTCACCAAAATCGAATCCCTCCAAAATCGGAAGGAAAGTGAATGAAAAATTAATTATTTGTGTTGAAATATATTTTATTTATCTATATATCTTTTTATATATGTATACATTAATTTCATATAAAACTAGAATGGTAAAATATGTATACATATATGTTAAAAATAAATTTAAAAATAAAATAAAAAAATATTTTAAATTAAAAAAAATATATTTTTCCATCTTAATTAATGGTGAAAATTTTCGACTCAACACGATGACATGACTCGAACTCGATACGAAAATAAATAGGTCAACTCGCAACTCGACACGATATAATTAGTTAAATGAGTTAAGTTATGTTTGATTAATATTCAACACAAATCCGTAAAGACTCAATATGAATCTGATACGACACGACTTAAATGTCATTCTTAATCTTAGTCAGCACAAAAAAAAAAAAAATTAGTCATTTGCATTTTTCATCTATCTAACAAAAAATAAAGGAAAAAAAGTGTATTCTTTCTACTTTCTATTTTTGAAGGATAGAAAGTATATTTCTACTACTTTATATTCTTCTTACTTTACATTCTCTCTACCAAGCACAACATTGGTGTAAATTTTAACACAACATAATTTCAATCGCCCCCACTATTGATATTTTAAATAAATGAAATTTGAGTTTGTTATTACTTTTATAATTTATTTTAGTGAAAATGAACTATTAAAAAGTAACGGTTTAGTAGACACTAAAGTTTAGAAGAGGGTGAATTAATTCATAATTGAACTTTTTTGAAGACTAGGATCTTTCCACTCTCTCTTTTGTTAGCTCTTGATGGAGTGTGTTCTAGTGCTAATTTGCACAGAATTTCTGGAGGAGAAATAGTCATTAGAATATCTCAAACAATTCAATCTATCATGAAAAGGCCAAAAAAAAAAAAGGGGGGGGGGGGGGGGATGTGAGCTTATGTTCCACAAGCGATGGAGCATGTCTGCGTTAATTATAGTTTTTGGTTTAACAATGAAAGGTATTCGAACTGATTTATATACACTTCAATTAATTCCTTTTCGATATAATTGAATATGCTAATTATTGACTGTAATGAAGCATTCTCTAATATGAATTTTATTTTTTTTCTCCTGATTTTGTTTGAAGTGATCGCAAACTTATTAAGAAAGGAAAATTTGGAACAACAAAATAATTGACAAACCATTTATTAGGCTATCAATGAAAGATGGTCCACATCTTGGTACAAGGGTCATACGTTGTGTCATGGTGTAAATTAAGGGGGTGTTTGGATTCAAATTCAATCTACCTCAATGCAAAGTAATTCAGGTTGATTCAATTTTAATGAATAGTATGTCTTTCTATCCCATCTTTGAATGAAAAATATTTGTTTTTTGTGTTCCATTCACATGTATAGATGAAAGATGGTGAAATGATCGGTGCATCATTTGTAAAGAAATTTAATCCAATCATATACCAACTTTGAGGGGGTGTTTGGATCGCCTTAGAAGGATTGAGTTGGATTGGATTCAAAGTAATCCGATCTGATTCAATCTTAATAAATAGTATCTCATCATATCCCATCGATGAAAAATATTTGTTTTGTAAGTCTCATTCACATATGTAGATGAAAGATGATGAAATGACCATTACACATTTTGTAAAAAATCTAATCCAATCCTATACCAACTTTAAATTGATATTATAACTTTGAATCGGTATGATGTCAATCCAAAATGAGGATGGTTAGGTACTTAGTTTTGAATAAAATTCTGATTTAATAAATTGAGTTTTTAACAACACAAAGTCGAAAATTTGTTTATAATTTTTTTTTATTGAATTTTGTACAACACACAATTCATCCCAAAATCATATGAATTGCCCATCAAAAGTGTAACATCCGAAACATACAAATTATAATCCAATAATACTACTTATCGAGAAACAAAAACATAATAATAGAGAATCACATATTATACATAAAGTTTACAGACCGCCTACAATTTACCTTTTATGGAGACCGTCCCTAACTAAAAAAGAAAAGGCAAACTTTGGTCTTATAATCGTTGATCATTTGAGATTAACTTCATAGTTTATTTGGAGAAGAAAGAAAGACCACTGATACAAACTACAGTGCTCAGCAACACAACTCCCCCTCCCCCCCCCCCCCCCCCAAAAGAAAAAAAAATCCTTCACAACTTCAATACATAATAACTTGATACAACAACAAAAAATAAGTAATGTGATTAGAATAAATTTATTGGTCTGCAATGTGTGAATTAGTAAATCTTCAAAATATTGTGAACTTTGTTACAACACCAAGGGTTAACAAAATCAAAGAACAATCGAATTCAGTATAATTAAATTAAAAACCAAAACAAATGTCATAATTGAGAAGGAATTTAAGAGATTTATCCTATTTTTTTCATTATTTTAGAATTCATAATAGTTTTTATTATGCCAATTGGATCAAACGGGTAACGATTTGGTTGGGCTGGTCCGTCAAAAAATACCGAGCTCATGACCAGTCTTAATGGAAATATGGTTAAGGTTTTTAATAGGACCTAAATACATATATATGCCTGCCTTGTGTAAAAAGCATTCAAAATATAGGCAACAAAGAAGGTGATTAAACAACCATTTGTTCCACAAGTGTAACATCCGTTTAAACATCATTTTTGAAAATAGCTTCGAAAAATTGGTAGTTCGGACAGGTATCTAGACAATACTTTGTAAACAAATTTAAAATAGTCGACCACAAATATATTTAATCCACCCAAAATATTGTACTAAAATTAATTAATAAAAGATATTGACAAGGGAATGTAATAGCCGAAATTTCAAAAACACGAGAATCTGTTGGTGTATCACTTGTTTATTAAACAATCAATTCCAGTATAATTTATTATGACTTTACCAAAATCCAAAGCAACAACAAACTACACAACACAGAGGACTCATAATTTTCCCTAATATCAAACACCCGTGTGTGCGAGAGAGTGAGAATATGTTTGTGTGCATGTGACTCTGAATCATTGTGTGTGTGCACGTGTGTTCTGAATCCTTGTGCCAGAGGTATCTCTAGTGGGGAGAGGGACAACAGAGACAAAAAGAACATGACGTACAAATGGGGAGAGTGAGAGAGAGAATCCATTAGAAAACAAAGAATAAGAGATCACATAGAAAGAGGGCATAAAAAAATTGATCGACTCCATGAATTATAGTTGTTTCCTGTCAAACCTTGAGAAACTAATAGGGCACCTGAACTATCTCCATGATAAAGATAAAAAGGATGAGAGAAGTCCTCAATCGAAGTTGAGGAATTGGATTGTGGCCTTATGACAAATGATTTTGATGCCATTGGAGAAACAAATAACAAGGGAAGCTTGCTAAAAGAGCTCTGATACCATGTTAGAAAATGAAGAAGAAGAGATCATAGAAAAAGGGGGAGAGAGATAGAGATGGACAAAAAATATTATTCTCATTGAATTGAAAAGAACAATTATGACCACTATTTATATACAAAACTAAATTAAATATCCTAACAATTTTTTTTAACTAATCTACCTAACCTGCCAGCTAGACTGTAGCTAACCAACTCTAACTGACTAACTAATGCTTCTTCCTTCTTTTTGTTGTCAGTTGTTACGATTGCATCTATTCAGCTGCATTCTGCATCAGCTTTGTTCTGCCACATGCTGTGCTGCTACATTCTTCAATAGTCCCCCTCAAGATGGAGAGTGAATATTAAGCACTCCCATCTTGCCCAACAAAAAATGAAACTGATGAACTCCAAGAGTCTTAGTGAAGATGTCACTAAGCTCATGAATAGAGGTAGTATGAAGAGTCTTGATAATACCAGCCTGAATTTTGTCACGAATAAAGTAGCAATCAAGTTCAATATTCTTAGTATGCTCATGGAAGATTGGACTAGCTGAAATATGCAGAGTAGCTTTGTTGTCACAGTGGGATTGGAGTGAGAAATCTGAAAGTCAGCAAGTAGAGTAACACGCCAAGTAAGTTCACAAGCAGTTGTGGCTATGGTTCTATATTCTACTTCAACAGAGGACAGAGAAACAGTAACTTGTTTCTTAGACTTCCAAGAGAGAAGAGATTCTCCAAGAAAAATGCAAAATCCAGTGACAGATTTGTGGGAATCAGGACAACCTGCCCAATCTGGCATCTGCATCACAAAACCCTTTAAGATGCAATGCAGAAGTAGCAAAACATAAAAGACCTTTAGTAGGAGAGGTCTTGAGATAACGCAGAACCCGATGGGCTACATCAAGATGAAGTTGCTTAGGCTGATCCATAAACTGACTGAGCACTTAAACAGCACAGGAAAAGTCAGGACGAGTGAGAGTGAGATCATCATCTCTATGAAGCTTTAAATGTTGTTCCATAGGAGACTTAGCTGGTTTAGAATTTCAAGGGCGAATTTCCTTTGACAAATAGAAATCCCTTTGGAAGATCTAGTTATTTTCAATTCTTAAAAAAACTTCAGATTACCAAGATCTTTGATATGAAATTT